ATGTCTCTCCTTACTCCATCTGCTCATGCCATACCTCTTACTTCTTGGTCAAATTATAGCCACTCCATCATTAGGCATGATTGCAGCATTGTCATCCAGAACCGAACCCAAAGCTGAGTATCATGGGCTCCCCTCTCAGCCGCCACCCTCTCAAGTTAATTCCATGCCTCACAACTGGAGAGGAAGATGCAGAGATGAGAATTTGTTTCCTTCTTTGTTATTTTTTTTGTCAGTGAATTTTAGTTTCATAGAAATTCTCAAAGACAATTAGAATTGTATTAGGGATTATCTGGATTCTTTCTGGAAGTTAGCACAGGGTGTTAATCAAGCCAATCACAACTTCATGCCAAATAAGCCAGTGAGCTTCTTCCCTTGTTTTACACACAAGTACACACACGCACGCACACACATTCATATGCATGCATGCATACATATATATGCACACACACACAGACATACACAGGCACACATGCATGGACACACATGCAGGAATACACACACACACATAGAAACATGGTGAGAAATTTAGTTTCTTTAAAAACCCAGTTATGTTATATGAATATGCTTTTGTTTTAATGCTAGACTCTAGAGGAGAACCTACTACTACCAAGTCCCTATAATTTCTAACTTACATTCTTAAATCTTATATTCATAGCCATAGTATGGCAGGTCTCATCCTTCAAAAAAGACATGGTTTTTTTTTTTTGTTTTGTGCTTTTTTTTTTTTGCTTTCAGAATGCAGAGACTATTACAGAGATCCATATCTAGTCAAAATGCAGAGAGTAAGTGACAATGTTTTTCAGTTCTCAAATGGGACAACTATAGAACAACCCCTACACCTAAAATTTAGATGACCATGACAAAGATGTTGCATACATGAAATTGCAACAAGATGGTCACCTGCACAAGACCTGCAATAATTCCACCAGTGAATATGCCAACATGGATGGATCAAAATCTCACAAGGCTGCACTCCTACATAAAGACTTACACAGACAATCCAGTGGATACTGAGAATCATTTTTCTTCATGGATGAGTATTCTATTCTACTGGTCACATGTAGACATTTGTACATGTGGACAACACAAGTTGAATTTGGTAGGTTGTGTATATGTATGTGTATAGCAATAGTAATTATATCAGAAGAGGTTATGAAGTCAGAGGGAGTGGGTAGGGCAGAAGGATTTGGATGGGAGAGGAATGAGTGGGAATAATCTAATCTCAATATACTCATATATGAAATAATTAAACAAGTAGCCATCTCTCCCATGAACATATGTGTCATCACAGGGACAGAATCAGTAGGTAAGTTGGTTGAGTAGACTGGATTTGACAAAAACCAAATAGTTGGAAGCTCAAGTCCTGAATGTCTAAGTGCATTTTATCTACTTATTTGAAGACATGATGATGAATTTTTTACATTCAGCTTGGAAATAGTCAGTTTTGATGCTTACATAGTATGATAGATAAAGCTTGCATCTTACTTAAACTTCATATGAAATTTATCAAGCCTAATTTTTCTTATTTAGATGTTAACCTTTTAATTAAGCATATTTACATCTTCTCGTATGCTTATTAATACATGTCCCTATTAATTACTACTTATTTAATATCTTACTAATACATGTAATACTTCTTCTGAACCAGGTCCATAGGACCAGAGACTCCAGAATCTAAACAGTTTGCTGTCTCAGCTGGAAAAAGGAGGGAAAGTAGGACAGGCTAGGTAGTTAGGAGCTTCAGGTCCTGTTTGGAGAGTGGCAGTCAGTAAATAGCATTTCTTGGGAGCTGTGATGTGTGAGAAGGAAAAGAAGCAAACAGCACTCTTTCTTTCCTCTACAGACTCAGGTGTCTATGCACAAGCCAAAGTACCGAACCCACATTCAAATTCAGGGGCTAACAGTGGCTTCTTGCTCGACTCTTTGTGGTTAATACAAAACCCATTTTTATAGTAATACATATAAATTGCACAAAATAATGAGTTGTTATGGTATTTCTGTACATGTATATGATATGTTTAAATCAGATTCTCTTCCTATCTTTCTTACTCCCCTCTGCCGTATCTTATAGTACCATCACCTTAATCCCGCTCCCACTAAATTTACATAACCAAGAAAACATGGTATTTATCTTTGCGAAGCTGGCTCATTTGGAATAGCATCTGTTTTTCTGAAAAAAAAAAGCATATTTTTTATGGATGAATAAAATACACAGATCACATTTTCAATTTCCATCCATCTGTCATTGGGTACCTAGACTGATTTTCTGACTTGACTGTTCTAAATAGTGCCTGCCACAATATGTTTGGCTATGTAGGTATTTATGTTGTAAGTTGGCACTGATTCTTTTGGGTATGTATCCAGGAGTGGTTTAGCCAGAACATATGGTATTTATATGTTTAGCCTTTTAGTAAACCACCATACTGTTTCCATAGTGTCTTGACTAACTAAAATTCCACCAAATAGTACATAAATGTTTCTTATTTTCCTGAGCTATGCCTAGACTTATTTTTTTTCTTGATAGGCATTCTGACTTTGTTAAGATGGACTTGATGTATGGTTTTAATTTGAATTTTCCTTGTGGTTCAGGTTAAGGTTGTCAAACAGGCTTTTTTTTCCCTTATATTATTGAACATCTATGCTTCTTAATTTGAAAAATGTTAAGTTCTTTTGCCCACATATTGACTAATTTATTTTCTTATTTCTTTTTGTATTTAACTTTTTTAAATGTCATTTCCTTCAGACACTGTCTTACTTTGAGTTCTTCATTTTGGTTGCTAATGGCTGTAACATAAATAGCTTGCAATGATTTTTAATGATTTATAACAATGAAATTGAATTAGTCAAAAGAAATTGATCTTTGTAATTTCAATCATAAAGCCTATCAAAGTTATAATAAATGAATTATTTCCATGTTGCAAATAGTATAAATGATGTATCAGGGTTGTATCTTAGTGATTTTCTTTTTTACTATTTTAACTTTGTGGAGTTGGAATTTATTTAACAGAATGTAATTACTTAATAAAAAACTAACCTAGTGTATTTGTTCCTTTTCTATTGCTGTGATAAAGCACCATAGTCAAGGAAACTTACAGAAGGAAGAGTTTCATTGGGCTTACAGTTCCAGTGGAGAATGAGTCCATTGTGGTGAGAAACCTACGAACAAGAGGCAGGTGTGGAGGCAGGAGCAGGAAGTTGAGAGCTCATATTCTCAATTACAAGCCATAAACAGAGAGAGCAAACTGAACATAAGCACACAAAGCCTGTCCTTAGTAGATAATTCTTCCAGCAAGGTCACATCTCCCAATTTTCTTAAATAGCGCCACCAACTGGTCAAGTGTTCAAATAGCCAAGCCAATGGGGAACATTTTCATTTAAGCCATGACTTTCCACTCCCTGAGCACCATGGGTTCACGGCCACATCATGACTCAAATGCATTTAGTCCAAAGTTTCTTTGGAGACTCAGGGCAATGTCTTAAGTATAATCCCCATTAAATTGAAAGCATATTACACTGTTAAAACATATAATAATACAGAATGGAAGAATGGGATCATAGTCGGGAATTACTGGATCAAAGCAAGACCAAAACCTAGCTAATCTTGTAGCAGCTTCATGTCTGGGGTCAAACGGTTTGGTGGTTCTGCCCCTCCGGCTCCGCTGTCTTCAGCATACATCTGTCTTGGGATAGTTGTACTCGCTATTTGCAGTCATCTTTGGCAGACAGGCCATGGCTCTGTAAGTCTTCAACATTTTGGGGTCTTCACTGCAGCTCAGGCTTTATCTCCACAGCCTCATGCAATGGCTTCTCAAAGCATATGACTCTCTAAAGACCTTCATGGAGGGACTCCTCTGCCATACGCTCCCTGGCTTTAGTGGCTCTCTGAAATCACAGAGAAAGAACCCATGACTTTGGATTTCCACAGAGGAAGAACGCATTATGTCTCTAAAAACCAAAGACGTGGCCAACACTGCCACGGCCCCCTCAATCATATTAGCAGCCCCAGTTTTAATTCAGTTGCTTTCAAAAATGCCTCAGATTTTCTTACACCGGTTGGAAGCTCAGTTGTATGAGGTCTTTCTCTGAAGGCACCCTCCCCTTTATTCCAGAGCAGAGCAGGGAAACCTCTCATGCCTTGGCTGTAACATGAAGCATCCTGGTGTATTTCTGCCCCATGTGTTCTTGCTTCATTGTAGACCTGAATAAACATTATCAGTAACAGTCATGGCAGGAATTCAGTGTTACACTGTCTTGAAATTTCCTATGACAAAAGGTTAGCCCATTACTTTTAATTTAGCTTCAGTTAAATTCTTAGGCCATGGGTAAAAGACAGCCAGACTCTTTGCCAAAATAGCACACAACTTGTCTACAGTCCAGTTTCTGTTAAAAAAAAGTCTTTGCATCCTCTTAAACTTCTTGCAAGTGGACCCTATGATTGCTTTGCCCTCAGCACTGTCTTCTAGGCTCCTGCTAGAATAATGCTTCAATTGCTGCATTCAACATGTAACCACTTTTCTAGGCCTTAGTCCCAAAGTCTTCCACATTTCTCCACCAACAATGCTGCCACTGCTGCCACCCCCAGCCCCACCATTGCCACCATCACCACCCATAGCTAGTATGGTTCTTCATAGCAACAGCCAACTTCCTGGTACCAACTACTATATTAGATACCTTTCTATTGCTGCAATAAAACACAATAACCAAGGTGTAATATTTAGATGGGAAATAGTCCATCATGATGCACAGTAGCAAGCAGCAGGAGCTGGGGCAGGCCCTGAGTCAAAGAGAGTGAACTGAATGTAAAGAAAGACTGTGAATTCCCAGCTTTTATAAATATGCTTCCTCCAACAAGGCTATATCTTTCAAAACTCCCGAAATCACACTGAAACTGGGGGACCAAGTGTTTCAATATCCAAGCCCGAGAGGGACTTTCATTCTGTCCACTACAGTGTGACAATCCAAGTGATATCTTTTTTCTTTTACTCATATTTGCATTTCAGGAAGCACCCCCGTTATCTGGACTCCCTGAATATGTGAAAATAGTAGAAGTTGGACCTAGGGATGGATTGCAGAATGAAAAGGTAGGTTTATATTGCCTTTATATAGTAAATCCCTTAACATTTTAATGGCACATAAGTTTTATATTTTAAGTAACATTTGTGTTAATTCCTGTTTGGCATTTTAAATCATAATGTATTTGCTTTCAATTGGGAAGTAATATTTTATGCTTCAGTATTTTTTATACAATTCATTTATATAATATGTTCTATTTTTTTAGGTTATAGTTCCTACAGATATAAAAATTGAATTCATCAATCAACTTTCCCAAACTGGCTTGTCTGTAATAGAAGTAACCAGCTTTGTGTCTTCCAGATGGGTACCACAGGTATTCAAATCTATAACTATAAATTTTAACATGTTTAAGTTTAGTGAACACTGTGAAATTATACATATATATATGATATAATGATATCCATATATTATAAACTATGAGTTCATATTCTGATAGGATTTGGCAAACCTTTGCTATACTACTTGAAGTTCTGTAAGAATTAACATAATTTTAAGCTATTTTAAAAAAGTAACCTGCAATCATATGCTAATATGTTAATATAGGATCCAAAATAACAAATACAGGTTAAAGCTCTTGAATAACAACTTTGGGGCCTGCTTTGATTTCACCATTTATGGCTGACATTTCAACTAACCTGAGGATCTTGAAATGTGATAGAATTTCACATTAGCAGATGTTCAGCATAGAGGTAATTCTTCATTTTTTCATCTATCATTCATATGTGCTGACATTGTGTGAGACACACAAAAGAGGAGTAAGTCATTTGCAATTGTCTCATTAAAAATGAAAAGGTGCTATAGTGTCATCCACAATTTTAGACGCTGAACAAAACTCATCAATCCTGAGACTTGATTATAGTCTTTGGGGCTTAGTTAGTAATGAGTGACCAGTTTAGCCTCATCCCTCCTAACCCAGTGTCATAGCACCCTGACCCCGAGTGTCTTCCCTGTCCTTCATCTCATTGCTTACTTCTGATCCCATCCCCATGTTCACATTATTCTCTGCTCTCTTTAGTCAGCTAATTTCATATTAATTATTCTTTTTCTTCTGTTTTCATGTCTGTTTGAAGCTCGATTCCCTCGACACTCTGCTTTTGTTGTTCTTCCCTGCCCAAACTCTCCCCCTTTACTGTGTCTCTCATACCAACAGTCGTTTCACTGAGGAAGAAAAGGCTTGTTTTTCGGATAAACTTCAACTAGACTTAACATTGACATCTCTGTGTCATTGGATTCAAATTCAAGCTCACTACTACCACACACTGCTTTATGCCGAGAGCTCATCCGATCTCTTCCTCTTAGAATCCTGTGCTTGATTCTCCAAGGGGTTGCTTTTTATATCTAATCAGTTACTGTCTTGGTTAGTTATGGCTGCAGCAATGGAAGACTTAGCTGGTTCAGATGCCAGAGGCCTATCTACTGGTTATAGAGTTTGGAAAATCAGAAATCAGGATGCTGACAGATCTGCGGTCTTTGAAGCCTTGACTTCTAGTTTCATGTCTCTGTCTTTATACCGTATCCTCCTCATATGACAGACAGAAGAATGAGGAAAAAACCATTTCCTGTCTCCTCTTGCAAGCTCATTAGCCCATTGCTGGAGTCTTTCATGATGATGTAGGTACTGTTTAGAGTATATCATTCCAACCTTAGTACTAATACAAGAAAATTTATGGAGAGGTTACTTAAATATACAGTCCATGGGAGGGGGACACATAAAATATCTCAGGGGCTGGTAAGATGGCTGGTGGGTAAGGGAACTTGGCACCAAGCCTGACAACCTGAGTTCAATCATCAGAATCCACATAGTGAAGGAGAGAACTAACTTCTGCATGTGATAGCATACCCATATCTACGCACACGTACACACTTATGTGTACACCCCACATCTACCCACACCCCCACACAAAACAAAAATATACACAAATAAATGTGCAAAAGGTTAATCTCCTTTATATTATATACTTGTTTTCCCCTCTAAATTCCACAGATGGATTACTAACCCACAAACCCACAAGATGCTACAGTTCATTGTATGGAATACATAAGCATTGTTCTCCCTTCCATATGTATCTTACCTATAGCGACTAAAATAGGCTTCCAGGAATATCAACTCTGAGAAACACATTCTAACGCTTTAAAAATTTCCTTCTCACTGAAAGAACCTGGAGAATCCACACTTTGCATATGTGGCTCCTGTTTTCCTACTCACCCTGAGCTCTATCAGTACGATTAATTCATTTTGCTGAAGCTTCAGCTAACCCGAACTGATTCTTGTTCCCATTTTCCTGGCATTTAGACAAGAGTACTACCATACAAGGCACTTTCCACATACATTTGCTTAGTTACCTCTCAATGTCGGTATTTTCCTGCAGTTCTAACAGTATGACGTGAAATACCAAAAACTCTGAGTCCTTTTGGGTTGGGATGCATTTGACATAGCAGAAAACACCATGTGGTTAGTAATCACCAACTCTTTACTGAGTTAATCTAATTTCTTGTCAGATAGTGATTTTTCTTCAAGTCACTGTTGTTACCTGTAGTCATAGATATTTTATATATTTATAAGTTTTCTCTGATCATTTGCTATTTGTACTGTAAATGTCATGAAGATAATGTCTGTCTCTCTTAATTATTGTCCTCAGTGCTTATATCATAGCAGCTAGGTATACAGTAAAATCACTGTGAAATGAATAGTGAATCAGTCAGTTTGAAAGAATGGCAACATATTATTTTCAATTATCTTGAGTAGGTAAGCAACCCTGCCTTTTATTCGTATATTTGTTATCATATAATTAAGTATACAGATATCTTCCTTAGGAAAACTGATTACTTGATATAAATATGTTTTTCTGATTATTTTGTGAAGCAGCAATATTTCACCAGATGCCATTGATTTTAAGGGATTTCAAGAGATTTTCATCATCTTTAAGAATTGAAGAAGTTGCTTTGTTTACAGCTCATTTCATGCTCCTTTACATATTTAATTATGTCTGGGAAGAGGGGACACACTGGCGTAGTTATAAAATTGGGAGAGTGTAGTAGTTATTTTGATTCCACAAGGTATAGGGGTTTGCTATACTTTTTTGTTGCCTTTAAATATCCATTAGGGGTTTCTACCCTAATTTAGACCATTTAATTCCCAAATAAAAGACACAGAGACTATTAGATTTGTAATAAACTTTAAAGCACCACAGCTTGGTAGATATCTACCCTTTAAGCTATCATGTCTGCTTCCCTTGCCAAAATCTCCATAAATACTTGCATCCATTCCATTTGCACTATACCTGCTTCATCAGGCTAGCCCTCATGGCCATATCCTTATGGTCCATGCTACCTCATGGCAACTTCCTTCTTCCTCCTTTCTTCTCTCTTCTACCTGATACCACCAAGCCCAGGAACCGCAGCTTTGCCTACTTCTCTTCTGCCCAGCCCAGGCTGTAGGCATCTGTAGTGGTTTGAATATGATTGGCCCATAGAGAGTGGTACTGTTCTGAGGTGTAGCCTTGTTGGAGGAAATGTGTCACTGTGGAGCTGGGCTTTGGAGGTCTCCTCCTGTGCTCAGGCTCTACTGATTGTGAAAGAGAGCTTCATCCTAGCTGCCTGAGAATGCCAGTCTCTCCTGGTTGCCTTCGTCACATCAAGATACAGAACTCTCATCTCCTTCTCCAGCACCATTTCTTCTTGGATGCTGCCAGTTTTCCTGCTATGATGATAGTATACTAAACCTCTGAAATTATAAGCCGGCTAATTAATATTTGTGTTTATAAGTGTTGCCTTGGTCATGGTGTCTTTTCATAGGAATGGAAAAGCTAACTGAGACAGCATCTTTATTAACCAATCAGGGATAACTTGACAGGGTTTACACAACAAAGGCTGGTGTGCATGAGAATTTGCTCTTCCTGGGGCAAGCAGATCTTGGGATACAATATTTAGCATTTAAATAATTATCAGCACTTGACCAATCCCAACAGGAGAGTACAAACATCTTACTAATATTAATAAAAAATTGTAACTAAAATTTCATTTCAGATGTTAAACCATGATATTATCAAAATTCTATAATTTCCCAGTAATTTAAGAAAGTTGCATATGGAACATTTTCTTGTAATAAGATGATACCCATGACTTCACGCTACTACTATTATATAATAATAAAAATTCATTTATAGACTATTCTCCAGACCCACCTATGATGCTCACAGGAACGTCTGAAAGAATGAGAATAGATTAATTTCTAAAAGGCCACACTTACTCTCTTGTAGCTAATGACAAGAATAATAAAAATAATAAAAAATAAATAATAGAAATAATAAAAAAATGACAAAAGAAAATAAAAGGAAGTCTCCCTATAAGAGGGAACTGGATCATGCCTCCTGGCCTTGCTTAAATAAATACAAGTGATGGGAATATAAAATGACAGAATTTATGCTGCATGTGGTCCCAAGTTGAATCTGGGATTAGCCTATTGAAAATTAATGAGCCTATTTTAAACTCAAAGTCATATTGAATAAGTTGACTGAATTGCTTCACATAGCTCTTGAGGACATCTGTGATGAGGAGAGATGGTTCTAGAATCATGCCCTTATCCGCCGTGTGCCAGCATTTGAGTAAGTGATTTAACCTCTCTGAACCTTAGAAACCCTAGCACATGTGCCTGCAATACAGGATGTTGTGGGTAGCCACAAAGGGTCAGTCACATCAATGGCTCCTGTGTGTGCATGATCACAGGGCTTACCTCCTGACTAGTGTTCAATAATGTTTTCCATCATGACTTTTATTAGTATGTATTCATTTTAAGCCTCATATGGTTACATGTATCTAAAGAGAAAAGTGATTTAAATAAATCACATAGCCACAAAAGAGCAGTGTGCCTGAATCAAAGACATGTATTACAAACTTTATCTTTCAGAGTCACAGTAGCCTTGTTACCTTATACTGCACTTGGAGTGTTTCCCGTATGGATGCACGCACGCGTGCGCGCGCGCACACACACACACACACACACACACACATTTGTAGTTTGGTCTTTGTATGGCCGCACTTACATTTGAAAACTTTCTCTTTTAAATTCTTTCATTCTCATTCTAGAAGATCATGTAGTACAATCCTTTAAAATACTGTCTGAGATTAGCATTCCGTAAATTTGGTATAGCAATTACTTATGTGTTGTCTGAAGTGATTTCTGTCTCTAAAGACAGTGTATGAAGTCTTGTTGGCTTTCTGTAAGTCCTGTGCTTCGCTGGAGCTGATTCTGCATCAGACACAGGTCATGGGAATAGCCCTCCAGTTAATGTTTAGATTGCTGCTTCTTCACTT